TGAAACTGACTGTAAAGACTTTGGCTCCATGGCGATTAAACTGTATTCGTGTGGTCTGAGCGCCATTCGCTTAATAATGTGCGCTCAGACCTGAGCTATCTAGGGATATGTTACTTGTCTGTGTTTTATGTAATAAATGTTACTTTATGTATTTTAAAGTATAATACTGGTTTTGTGTCCCCACATGTGTAATGGAGTTTTGCCTTTGTCTTGGGAGATAATTGAGTTACTTCTCAATTATCTCCCAGGGCAGAGGGGAGGAAGCCAGGATGCATTGTGGGAATATATTGTGACTGTGTGTCCTATTTGTCTACTTGTCTGTCTTTTGTCACAGTCTCCCCATTTGGTCCCCTAGGGGAGTGTCCACCAGATGGGAGACCTGCATAAATACTGGGCAGGTAGCCCTCATTAAACAGACCACTGCTTGACCCCCAACACGGAGCTCTGTCTCGTCTTTGGGGGGGATTTACTGTATGCTGCTAAGGACTGATTGCCAGGAGTGTAAGCTGCTTGGGAGCTTTTCCTGTTCGTCTGGTAGCAGCAATTCGTATGGTTCCTGTTTGTGTATTTGGAGTGCTACCTTATTCCCTTGTATGCCGTTCGGGAGTTTGGAGCATTCACTTGTATGCAGTTCGAGTGTTTGGACCATTCCCTTGTATGCAGTTCGAGTGTTTGGAGCATTCCCTTGTATGCCGTTCAGGAGTTTGGAGCATTCACTTGTATTCAGTTCGTGAGTTTTGGTGATTCTACAGTAGCTGTGCCTGTCTCTGAAAGGGGATTATCGTCTAAGCGTTTTTTTTCCCTTTTGTGCAAAACGGTCCGTTACAGGCTCCATGGCTTAGCTATCTGGGTGATGCTGTTCATCCGGTTAAACTACCGAATGAACAGTCATTCGGTTCCGCTACTGAATGGGAAGGTAAGGAAGCTGGCGGCTCAGCGGTGTTCGCGCCAATAAGTGTCCGTTTTCGGTTCCATAGTTTGGGTGCCCCGTTCGGGAGGTAAAATGGCCGCTGCCACGTGTTCGGCAGACGAACAAAGGCCACCCAGCGTTCATCAATTAAGCTGCGGTTAACCGCAGCTTCTGGGCGGTCAATTGACGACACACTCCAGTTCCCAGGTGGTTCATCGTTCGGTAGTTTGTTCAGTAGATTGAATCTACCGAACACCCCGGCAGAAAGGCACGAATAAACCTTTCAGTAGGGGAAATAACAGGGCTGAACTGCAGGGCCATAGTCTAAAGGGAGCAGGCGAGCAACCAGGCTTCTCCAGTGCATAGTGGAGAGGTTGGTTCCGCCACACACTATAGCGATCCTTTAATATTATTTTGGTATTTGATTTATTCTGATGGAGATGCGCTCCAGTCCAATTTATGTACGAGTCTGCTACATACCACACAACATAGAATACTTTTGATAACTCCAGGTAGCACCTATCCTTGTGACAAGGAA